AAGAATAGCTTATTAACAATGGTTGATACATTATCTATTTTTATTATCAAATCTGTTGCTCAGATTCACAGATAAAGTTATGTAAGATTAGACATGATTGTGTATTGATGCTTACTTTCAAGAAACTAAATTTTTGCTCTTGTCTTTTTTCTTTTTTTAACCTTTTTTAAAAATTTTATTTTAAAGGAAGTATAGTAATAATTGTTATGACATTAGAAACAGTACACATTTAGAAGATGCCTTGGTTTTTTAAAAATTCTGTATCATTTCTAATGCCTAATCTATTGTTTTTTATTCTCTTTAAAATTAAAAATGACTTCAAAATAAAGATAACTATAAGGGGGCCGGAGAGATAGCTCAGTAGAATCAGCGCTTGCCTGGCAAGCTCAAGGGCCTGAATTCAATCCCTGGTACCTCAAAATAAATAAATAAATAGTATAAAGAGCAGGGTAAAAAAGAAAAAGAAAAAGAATGCCATGTGAAATAGTGCATCTTGATTGCCAATCTGATTGAAGCAACACCTAGGTGGGCCAGAGAGATAGCTCAGTAGAATAAACACTTGCCCGGCAAATGCAAGGTCCTGAGTTCAATCCCCCGTACTGAAAAAAAAAAAAAAAAAAACCACCTAGGAAATTCAGGATGTGCACTTCTGGGGTGTCAGAAGGTGTCCCCAGAAACTGGCCTGTAGGATGCAAAACTGAGAGGGGAGCCTGAACAGGGTGGTCCTGTGCCAGAAGCTGGTGCCAAAGGGACAAAAGCAGCAGGAAGAAGCCGGCCAGTGCTGGCCCTTTCTCTCTGCTTCCTGGGCTCCAGAGGGGAGCAGCCCTGCTTCACCCTGCCCCCTTCCGCCATAACATTCTACCCTTCCCCAGCCCAAAGACCATAATGGGGCCAGCAGGCTGCGGGCTAGAGACTCTAAAACTATGAGCTGAAAGAAACTTTTCCCGCATTGAGCGGTTACTCTCAGGTACGGTCAGAGGCAGAGGCTAGCCCATGAGGATACTTGGCAGCTCCCAGCGTATACACATCCTCATGCCCTGCTGAAGCACCTGCAATAGAGTGACAGGTTTCTCTGGCTCTCAGCCTAGCTATGTGATTCTGCAGGTGTGCGTGTGCGCCTGTACTTGTGAGTCTGAGTGATAGGATGTGTGTGTTTGCTTTCCTTTCTCTGGGAGATTTCTCTGAGTAGGAGTGGACGCTGGAGTCAATTTTCAAACTGTAAATCAATCTGTCAATAAATAACACCTTCAGTAAAATGCTGATTCCCAGGCCCCTTCTATAGGACAGAGAGCTGGCAGCTCTTAGGCAGGGCTCAAGATAAAGGTTTGAGGGCCAGAGAAATGGCTCAGTAGAATAAGTGCTTGCCTGGCAAGCGCAAGGGCCTGAGTTCGATCCTTGGTTCCACAAGAAATAACTGGCAATTATACTGAAAAAAGATAGTTAAGTATTAGTAGTTAAAAAAAAAAAGATAAAGGTTTGTAAAATGCACCTCTAATGATTCTGATGTAACTGAATTCAGTAATTCCTAGTTGGATAACCAGAGAATCTCTAATTTTAAGACTATGAAGTTAGGGGTGGGAGATAGCTCAGTGACATAAGCACCTGCCTGGCAAGTGCAAGGACCGAGGTTTGATCCCCGGTACCACATCTATTGCCTGCTCCAGAACCCCAGGGCGCTCCACGCCAGCCCAAAACCAGGCACGATGGCACATGCCTGTAATTCTAGCACTGGGGAGGCTGAGACAGCAGGATCACTACAAGTCCAAACTGCATAGCAAGATCCTGCACCAGGGGCTAAGGAGATGGCTCAGTGGAATAGGCGCTTCCCTGGCAAGTGCAAGGGCCTGAGTTCAACCCCCAGTTCCGTTAAAAAAAAAAAAAATCCTGCACCAAATAAATAAAAAAAATTGTAAACTATGAAGTAAGATGTTTGCCACAAATTCAGTATTATTACAATGTTTTTCTGACTCACACAAATGAAAAAATTCAGGAATGTTATCAAAAAAATCATTTTGTATCACGTTTTGAGTGCCAAAAAATAAATTGCAACTATGCTCCATAACAAATCCTAAACAATTTTACGAATTCATTGAGGGTTTGTCATACGTACCACATCCCCAAAGGGAATCAAAGTTGATTTCTCATGGGCTGCATCCAGTTCTTTATTCTCAGACACCATAAGAGTTTTTTTCATCATCTACAAATGTAAGTAAACAAATTTAAAACTTAAGCCAAGAATGGTGCCACACATCTCTAATTCCAACACCCTGGGAGGCTGGGGCAGGAGAATTGAAAGTCTGTGTTCAAGTTGGGCAACTTAAGTGACTTAGCAAGACCACACTCCCCACACACACACGCACAAAGAAAAGGAACATAGCTAAACAAAAGATTAATTCAATCAGTACTTTGTGACTACCTAGCAAACATCAGGACTATAGGCAGTTGGGCATAAATATGAAGAAGAAACTCAAACTTATCTCCAATCAATGTATCAATAATTAAGCAATAATCCTGAGAAGTCAAGACAACAAAATTTCCCATTCCCCCAAAGCTGATCTGCGGGACATCAATAGGGAAGAAATCAAAAGACACACAGCTGAATTGCTCAAAATGATAAGAGGAGATTTAAAAAGCAGATCAATCAGGTTCTGAGAGCTCACAGACAATCTCACGAAACAGAAAGCAGATCAATGAAACTGTTTTAGAGAAGATACTTGAAAAGCCAGCCACGCTACATAAAATGATACAAAACATAAACGAGCAGTTTAGCAAATAAGAATCTACAAGATAAAAATTCTGTTGAAAGTATAGGCTGCCTGACTAGTGCTAGGTCTTGAGTTTGATTTCTGGAGAAACAGAGGTGGGGGGCACAGACAGAGAGAGAGACACAGACAGACTCAGAGAGAGAGACAGACAGACAGAGAGACAGAGACATACAGAGAGACAAAAACAGAGAAAGACAGACAGACGTGTCCCAAGTGAGGACAAAGTGTCAGAACTAGAAGATAATGACAATGCCAGTGATCATACACTTAAAGACACCATAACAGCTAGAAATGGTGGCACACACCTGCAATCCCAGCACTCGGGAGGCTGAGGCAGGAGGATTGCTGTGAGTTTGAGATCAGCCTGAGCTTCAAAGTGAGCTCAAGGCCAGCCTAAGCTGCACAGCGAGACCTAGTCTCAAAAAAAAAAAAAAAAAAAAAAAAAAAACTGATCCTGCTGGCCTGAACCACTGACAGCACATGGCTGGCTATCCGCCAGGATAGTTACACATACGACTTTCACATCGAGCTGTTTGTACACTGATGGTGTAGACAGATCTGATCATTTTTATTGGTCTTTGTACTAATACAATTAATAAGTCTATAAGCTGACTGAATCTAATTAGTTGCTTGAATTTGAATAATTACTTCCCAAATACAAATATTAAGTAACACAACTCATACTAATTTTTTAAAATATATTAATCAAAATTTACTTCATTACATTGAAAGAAGTTTGCTTATATTTATCAATAATTCTCTAAATTTTAATATGGAAATCTTTATGTATTTAGTACAGGGTCTACAGGATCTACAGGGTCTCACTACATAGGTCGGACTCGTAGTGATCCACCTGTATTCAGGCTCCCGAGCACTGGGATTGCAGGCGCACGCCACCATGCCTGGTCTCAAGTGCCATCTCAGCGCCCCCTGGGGGCAGGGCTGGCATAGCACGCAGGGATTGAACCTTAGCTGCTGGGTCTGCCTCAGCAGGCGCTTTAATCTGCTGAGCTATTTGGCTGGTCCTTAATGTGGAAATCTTAAAATACCCCCCTTGCTGGTGTATGTTAAGCATTTACAACTTCTGTATCACAAATTAGCTCCAAAACAGACCACATACTAGCTAAAAAAAATATGCTTAAGTAAATGCAAAAGAATCAAAATTATCCCATGAATATTGTCAGATAACGCTGCAATGAAACCATACATCAGTAGCAGAAGAAACCACAGAAACCTTGCAAACATACAGAAATTAACACACTCTTTAATAACTAATGTGCAAGAGAAGATATTCAAGATATAAATTGCATAACGTCAGAATAACATACCAACTTATAGAACATATTAAAGTCATCCTAAGGGGCTGGTGAGATGGCTCAGTGGTCTAAAGCACCTACTTAGAACAAGCTTAGCAAAAGCATCAGGGACCGCGGTTCAATCCCCCAGCACCACATGCCAGCCAGCCCCGCCCCCTGGTGGGCTGAGCTGGCCCCACTCTCACACGCACACACACACACATAAATGAATAAAATTAAAAAAAAATAATAATAAAATAAAGTCATCCTAAAAGAAAAGTTTATAGATTTAAATGCCCACATCAGAAAAATACAATGAGCACAAATAAATAACCTAATAATGCATCTCAAAGTCCTAGAGGAAGAAGAGCAGTACAAATCCAGAGCTTGTCCAAGAAGGGAAATTATAGGACCACCAGGGAGACAGCTCAGTGGAATAAGCACCTGCCTGACAAGCACAAGGTCCTGAGTTCAATCCCTGGTACCACTAAATAAATAAATAAATAAATAAAATAAAGATCAGGGTAAGAATCAATGAAATGGAGACTAAAAAACAATACCAAAAAAAAAATCAATAAATCAAAGAGCTTGTTCTTTCAAAGAATAAACAAAATGGACAAACCATTAGCCAATTCTTTTTTAAAAGACACAAATCAATGCAATTAGAAATTAAACGGGTGAGCCAAGCACAGAGGCACATGCCCATAAGCATTTGGGAGGCTGAGGCAGGAAATCCACAAGTTCAAAGGCATTCTGGGCTACCCCGTGAGTTCAAGGCCAGTCTGAACTGCATACTGAAATCCTGCTTCTAGAACCAAAACAAAACAAAACGAAAGGGGCAAAATCAAAATGGGTACCACCGGAATACAGAAAACTATCAGCAACTATTTCACAAACCTATACACCCAAAAACTGAAGAACTCAGAAGAGATTCCTAGATACAGATAAATTACCAAAACTGATCCAAGAACACTTTAAATATTTGAATAATCCAGTAACAGAAAAAAAAATCCAGTAATGGGCATGAAATTAAAGCAGTACGAAAATCAATAACCAAATTCAACAATGTAACAAAATATCAAATAAACACACAAAAATCAACAGCATTCCCATACACTAACAGGGAACTCACTGAAAACAAATCAGGAAACCGATACCATTCACAACAGCATTAAGAAAAATTAAATACAACATGCAATATACTAACAACCATTACTCTCCTACAATCTTGCTCTGAAATTTCACACCACTGTTATTATTTTTCTTTTGTTTAAAATAAGAAAGAAGAGCCGGCCAGATAACTCAGAGGATTAAAGTGCCTGCTTAGGCAGACACAGGGGTTCGGGGTTCCATCCCCAGTCTGCCATGCTGGCCCTGCCCCCGGGGCATGCTGAGATGACAACTGAGACTGGGTATGGTGGCGTGCACCTGTAATCCCAGTGCTTGGGAAGCTGAAAAACAGGAGAATCACTACGAGTCTAATCTCACTACGTAGATGGGACTCATAGTGACTCTCCTGTGCTCAGCCTCCCAAAAAGAGACCCTGTAGATCCTGTACTAAATATGTTAATAAATAAATAACAGTTTAAAAGAAAAAAGAAAAATTAATTATTTTTCTATTTCTCTATTTTCCAAAAAGCATTTCAATATATATGCTAAATTGTTTCATTCATACTACTAGTTTCTCTTAGTTTCTCAAAGTGAGCTCAAGGCCAGCCTGAGCTGCATAGCGAGACCTGGTCTCAAAAAGAAAAAAAAGATACCATAAGAGATCCTGCTGGCCTGAACCACCGACAGCACATGGCTGGCTATCCGCCAGGATAGTTACACGTACGACTTTCACATCGAGCTGTTTGTACACTGATGGTGTAGACAGATCTGATCATTTTTGATCAGATTTATTTTTGGCCAGCCCAGTGCACACTGGGGGCGGGGCTGGCATGGCATTCAGTGCTGGGGTTTGGACCGCAGCCCCTGCACTTGCCTAAGCATGCCTAAGGTGTTTTAGACTGCTGAGCTATCTCCCTGGCCCCTACAGATTTTATTTTGAAAAAGTTTTTTTTTTTTTTTTTTT